TCTTTCTGAGCACCTCTCTTCCTCTTCACTCTCCTGCTTAAGCCTCTATTAAAATATCTTTACTCGGGGCTAGAGAGATGGTTCAGTGGTTAAAAGCACTTACCACTCTTTGAGTGGACCTGGGTTTGGTTCCCAGCACCCACAAAGCAGTTAATAATTGGAACTCCAATTTCAAGGGATCCAAAGCCCTCTTCTGACCTTCATAGGCACTTAGATACATGCAAGCAAAACACTCATATGCATAAAATAAAAATAAATAAATCATTTAAAAAATACATTTAATAAAAATCACCAGCTCTGTTTCATAAACTGGCTAGTCCTGAAATTCTTTTCAGTGTCAAAGCCACAAACCCCATTTGGCCCAAGTTCAGGTCCCTAAGAGATTAGGAGAGCTTCTCAGGTTGCTGAGAGTGACAGAGGAGAGCTGTGTCTCTGTCCCCTCACCACTGACACCTTTTCTGGTGGCACATTAGTATTTTATGTCTAGAGTTTACTTAAGGCAACAACCTTAGGTGTCTCATCAGATGCCACTGGCGTGTATCGGGGCTGCGACAAGAGCTTTCATAATGACCTCACTCATTCGGCAACTCATTGAGGAAGAAATGTATTTCCATTTTACGGAAGGGAAAAATGAGGCTCATGTGATCAAATGAGGTGCTCAGAAACATTCAGTTTATTAATGGCAGAGCTGGGATTTGAACCCACAACCTTCTGATTCTCAAAACCTTGCTGTGATCCATGTGTTATGTGACTATAGAAGGAGGACTTTGAGGGCTGGGGAGATGACTCGGGGTAAAGCACTTGCCTTGTAAGCAAAGCAACCTGTAAAAAGCTGAGTGTGATGGTGCATGTTGGTAATCCCAGCGCTGAGGAGGTCAAAACAGACAGATCTCGGGGGCTTGCTGCTGTCAGTGTAGTTAAATCAGTGAGCTCCAGTTTGGCTTCTGTTCTGTGAGAGACCTGTCTCTAAAAACAGGGTGGATCATGTCCTCAGGAGCAACAGCAGAAGTTGACCTCTGGCTTCCACATGCCTGCATATGTGCACACACACACACACACACACACACACACACTCATACACACAGTCATACACTCACACGCACTCACACACACACTCACACACACACATACACACACTCATACACACAGTCATACACTCACACGCACTCACACACACACTCATACACACAGTCACACTCACACGCACTCACACACACACACTCATACACACAGTCATACACACACACACACACACGGAGGAATCTGGGGCTAGGTGGGCCTCTTCCCCATCTAGACTGGGGAATGGGGGGTAAGAACATAATCATCCTTCACTCTTGCCTCAGACATCGACTTACCCTCACACAGACCCACCAGGCTGGTGGTGTCGATTCTATATTTTCTTTCACCAGTGAGAAAACTGAGTCTCGGAGAAAGACCATGACTTTGCTGAGACTACAGACCACCCTGCATGGGCATCTCCCACCTCCAGGCCTCCTGGCCCTTCCTGAACCCTGGTGAGGTGGCTAGCTCAAAAGCAGGCCTGCCCAGCCAAAGTTATGTGGGATGGCTCAGGTGTGGCCTAGCTGGAAGCCCTCCTCCAGCCTCCTCCTGGTTCATTCCTTTCCTCTTCCTCCCTCTGCTGCCCCCAGCAACACCAGAAGCCGGGGCCCCTCCCTTCCTGACTGGCCCCCTTGGCTGTGGTCACAGAACTTTCTCTTCAAACAGTCCCCTCCATCCATCTCTGTCTCCCAGCCCCATTGGGCCTTGACAGGGAACCGCTGACTTTGAGGAGGTTAAAGGTGCAGTGCCCAGCCTTCATCTGACAAATGGGTTGCTATGAGGAGGGGGCTGTTGCTTTTCTTCCTCCAGCCTCCTCCTGGTTCATTCCTTTCCTCTTCCTCCCTCTGCTGCCCCCAGCAACACCAGAAGCCGGGGCCCCTCCCTTCCTGACTGGCCCCCTTGGCTGTGGTCACAGAACTTTCTCTTCAAACAGTCCCCTCCATCCATCTCTGTCTCCCAGCCCCATTGGCCCAGGGAACCGCTGACTTTGAGGAGGTTAAAGGTGCAGTGCCCAGCCTTCATCTGACAAATGGGTTGCTATGAGGAGGGGGCTGTTGCTTTTCTTCCCCCAGCCTCAGAAGAGGGGCCTGTCAGGAAGATGTAGAGGTGGTGGCCTTGTGGTGCCCCCAGGGGGGCTGACAGACGCCAGCAGCTGCTGGGGCACCAGGGTGCCAGGCCCTGTATTCCCAGCACTGAGCACCCTGCTGCTCCCCCCCCCCCCCCCCGCTCTATGCTCCTCTGACCTCTCTAACAACCCCACCATGACCCAGTGCCCACCCCTTCCAGGGGCAAAGGGCTAGGAGGCCTCCCAGAAATGGGGACCCTGAGCCAGATGTGAGAAGGAAGGCCCAACAGGGATCCAGTTACAGCCTACCAGGCCAGGCCCCCAGGATTTCCTAGGGAGCTGTCAGGCCCCATCTTCCTCTTAGCTTGCCCCTCCTGTGGCCTCCTTCCAGCACTCAGCTCCAGGGCCTCACAAGGCTGGCTGTTCCTATAGAATCCCTCAGTTCTTTCCTCACAGCTTCCCCCTTCAGAACCACCAGTTAACAAGTAGCCTCATTCATCCATTGCCAACTCTGCCCTTCATAGACACAGTTTTGTTCAAAATTCACAGGATGAGTTTGAGGCCGGCCTGAGCTACCTAGTGAATGCCAGGTCAGCCTGAGCTACATAATGAAACCTTCTCTCAAAAACAAATAAAAATGGAGCTGAGGAGACAGCTAGGTGGGAAAAATGAGTGCTGTGCGAACATAAGGACCTGAATTTGAATCCCCAGTACCCACATAAAAGCTGGACCCAGAGGCACATGTCTGTAACCTCAACTTTGGGTTGGAGACAGAGACAGGCAGATCTTGAGGGCTTGCTGGCTAGCCAGCCTAGCCAACAACAATGATTTCCAGGTTCAGTGAAAAAAGTCTCAAAAAACAAAAAAAAGGTGGGCATCAATCAAAGAAGGCACTGGACATCAACCACTGGCCTCCATATGTGAATGCAAAGGTGAGTAGACACCCCCCTACACACATACCACACACTCATTTACAAAAAAATAATAAATTTCTTAGGCAGGTAGGCTGGCACAGTCAGTGCAGGATACCTGGTTAGAGTCCTGGAGGCTGCCCTTCCCTACAGTGTGACCTGGTACAGGTTACATAATCTCTCTGTGCTTCAAGCTTCCAAGAGATGGAGATGGTGGGAATAGTACTTGGTGCCGAGGGTTTTGGTGGCAACTGATTGATTCGGTGGAGAGGGGGTATTATTGCAGATATGGTGCTAAATCAATAGGTGGCTAATACTATAGCCATCATCCCTGAGGCCCAGAGAGATATGGTGACTTGTTCCAGAGCAAACTCAAAACTTCAATTCAGCTGACACCATCCACCGCCCCAAACCCCCAACCCCGGCTCCTCTCCAACCAGCCAAGCCACTCACTCCCTCACCCACCACCCCTGATGCTCAGGTTCACAGGATTTCTGCCCTGACCCTGCTGCTTGGAACAATGGAAATCCCAGGGAGTTCTGGGACTGTCTCTTCACCCTCTTAAGAAACTGCATCAAGCCTCCAGAAGTTGAGAAGCAAGCCTGACATTGCCATGACAAACTGACAGGCCAGATGAATGACTGGCCACCAAGTCAAACCAGCCAGGAAAACCAACGGGAACTCCCTCTGGGGAGAACTCTCAGGGGATCAAGGTGCCTAAATTCCTGTCTCCATGCCTGGGGTTCCCAGGATGCCTGACCTCCCGGGATGGAAAAAGGGAAGCAGGTAGGAGAGAGAGCCGGGGAGGCAGGAACAGGAGGCACTTGGGAGAGGCCCCCAGGAACTTCAAGGACTTTCTTTAAGAGCCTTACTTTGGCTAAGGAGAAAAATGACTTGGGGGTGCTCTAGAGAAGAGTGTGGCTAATTAGCATGGAAGTTGAAGGTTAAAGGGGGTGAGGAGGAAGCAGATACTTTTTTTTTCCCTTACTGAGAAAGTGAAGAATGTCATTTGGGGCAGAGGGAAATGACTTCTTTTTTCATTTTTCTGGAGTCTTCCTTTAAACCCCAGACCACAGTGGGCTGCCAAGATTTGCAGAAAAAGATTTCTTTTAATCCCCCTTCATTTTTTGTTTGTTTGTTTTTTCAGGCAGCAGAAGGATCTTTAAATCAATACAATCCCAGAGCTTGTCTCTTGTGATTCCCCTCTTCACTCCGGCAGAATTTGGCATTTGGTGGATTCTGGGTCTGACTTAAGGCTTTTTCAAAATCCAAGACTTGGGGAATTTTGTTAACAGGGCAATAAAAATAATTTTATGGTATTATGGGGAGCGTGTGTGCGCTTGTGGACATGTGTGTGTGCGTGTGTGCGCGTACTGCTCTCTCTCCTTAAAAAAAATACAATGTTTCTTTAAAAGTCTCGGTCTGCAAATCCCATTAGATGTGAGTATAAGGTTTCTGATGATAATGTTGCAAGCTCGGGTTTTGGTTGGAGGGGACTTTGTATGCGTGCAGTTGACCCCTCCCTTTCCTCTCTCACATTTCACTTCAGAAATCTGTCACTCTCTCCCCACCCCAGGGTTTAAAAGTGTGTCTCAGCAGCCCAGGTCCAGTCTTCTGCAGGCATTCACCCAGGACCCCAGGAAGAGCTCGCATCAGGGAGGCTGCATCTGAGCTGGGACAGTCAAAATGTTTAGTACCATAGGCGACAAATACATGCACAAGGGACCCCAATAGTCAGCAGTGTGTCAGGGGGCAGGAAGCAGGCCCTGAAGTCCGGCACAGGTGTGTGCGCACATGTGTGTTACTGGCCACGTGTGTGTGGACTCTGAGGGGAAATTTTAATTTTGATTTTTGTTTTGGTTCCTGGGGTAAAATTTCCATTCAACATTTTCCTCTACTTATTTTTTCCACTTAAAAAATTTTGAATATAAAAAGTGTAGAGCAACATCCTTTGAACGGGACTCAGAGGGGCAGCAGACAGCAGATGGATCCGGTGGCCAGCAGCTGCATGAGGACCCCCCATCCCCCAGCCCCCGTCTGGGGTTGCCTTCGAAACCCCCACTCGGAAGGCAGTGGCCCCTCAGGGCTGCCCCACTATCCGCCAACCCCATTCTCCTTCCACCAGAAATCAGATTTCCCAGCGACAGCAGCGTACCCCGATTTCTCTGCTTCCTGTCTGGCAGCTACCCCACACAGCCTGCCACAGGAGGAGCGCATCTTCACTGAGCAACACCCCGCCTTCCCACAGCCCCCTGACTGGCACTTCCCTGTCTCTGAGGCCCGGCAAAGGCTCAACCCAGGCCCTGCTGGGAGCTCCAGAGAGATGGGGGCTAGCAGCCCAGGCCTGGTGGACAGCACGGGAGGACCAAGTGAGGACTACGTGGTGCTTGGGAGCACTGCCAGTGAACCGGAGAAGAAATCAACCAGACGGAAAAAAGAGCGGTCAGGTAGGGGACAGAGGGGCTTACCATTCTTTTACTGTGTGACCCTGGGCAGACTGTTTGCCTTCTCTGAACCTAGAAGCCTTATCATGAATTTTAGTGTTGTCTACCTTAATGAAATGTGGGAGATGTAGGAGCTTTAGAATGCTCTGGTGACGGGCTGGGTCTTTATCAGTTTCTCTAGCATGTCTGGGCCTCTGGAAAGAATGTGAGTGAAAAAATGATTTGGGTTCAGGAGAGATTTGAAGGACACATGGGATGGAGCTTCAGGGCATACATTGGACTGGAGATAGTTTTTCTGTCACACCATGACCATGCTGAAACAGGTTCCAAACGGTCCCAAGAGCCAAAGGCAGAAACTCATCATTCAGGCAAGACTGAGGCTTGGGGGTCAAAACTGACACTGGGACACTGGGTGGTCATGCAAAGTCAGGACCTAGAGGCAGAGGAACAGGTCTAGGCAGGTTTGGGAGAGGGACAGGGGAGGGGAAGAGAGGCAAGCAGGGCTTGGGCAGAGTGTTCAGAAGTGCCACCATGCAAAGGTAGGGCCCAGACTCAAGGGACAGCTTAGCTAGACAAGGTTTGATTGGGGCTCAGGAAAGACAGTGCTGCAAGGTGCCCTTCTGGGGCACTGAAGTCTTGAGTGAATCAGGGAGGCAGGAGGTCGCACATGCCAAGGCCAATCTGGACAGGGAGCATAGTAAAGCCAGCTGCTGCGGGTTGGAGCCCCAGAGGCTAGAGGTGGAGAACTGGTTGGTTTGCTAGGATCATAGCCAAAGCCCTCTCCTCCCTGGGTTTCAGCTTTTTTGAGTGCCACAAGTTTCCAAAATACGGGCAGCAGATTTTGTTAGTCTCTCAATTCTGCACGTGTGGAAAAGCAAAGAGTTTGAAAGGAACATTGTAAGAATGGGGCCACATCGAGAGCATTGTTGGGCATGGTGGGGCAAGACTGTAATCTCAATACTTGGGAGACTGATGCAGGAGACTCTTGAGTTCCAGGCCAGTTTGGGCTACATAGAAAGACCCTGCCTCATAAATTAATTAATTAATTAATTAGGAAGAATGACAAAGATTTTTCTCCTTTGGGGATGTGGGTGAAAGTCTTGTGTCTGGCCCATAAACCCAGACAAACCAGATGGTTCCCCTAGACGTGAACTCAACCCCTGACCATCAAACCCCACGGACCTTGTGTTGAAGTATTTGGTCCCCATACTCAAGGCTCCTCAATGTTCTGACAATAGGTGATGATGGCCACGGCCATGCCCTCATCTAAGTAGAAGCGCCCTTTACAGCCCCAGCCACTCAGACCAACCACTGGCTGGAGATCTGCTGAAACAAGCTGTTGGATGGAGAGCAGGCTCTCTGCTCCTCCCAGGTCCCAGGACTCTGTGCCTAGCTGCACAGTTCTTCGCTCTAGTATCTGCTGTACTTGCTGGCATCTTACAGCATCTAGCCACTTTCCAGTAGACTGGGGGCCAAGGGATTTAGGAAGGGATCCACAAAGCTGAGAACTTGATGGTCTCAGGCAAAGTCCTTCATTAACCCAAGTCCCAGCAAAACCCAAATGGACCATCTTTCCTTTTGGTGACTAGCCAATAGCAGTGCTTTACAGAGCGAGTACACATATAAACTGTTGATCATCAGAAAGTCCCCCACCAGCCTCTGATCTGGGAAGAGTCCCACTCATGGAGGCCCCTAGGTTCTACGTGAGGGCCCCTCTGTGCCACCAGTGGATGTGGACAGCAAGACCTGGGCTCAGCAAGCTGACTTTCCCCTCTATCCCATGTGACTGATCAGTGGGGAAATCTTTATTGCCCAGGTGCTTGAGTCTGCATTGGAATTTAACTGCAGGGGAAGGAGGAGGCAGGAAGGGTCAGCGTCTAAGAGCCTAAGGAAGAGGGCTGTCATGAGTAGGCTCACAACAAGCTGCAGCATCTGGGAATCTGCTCAAAAGACAAAAGTCTGCAGAAAGGCCTCCGCACTACCCATAATCCAGAATCATGCTATATCCCTAAACACTTGCCTTTTTTGTTCATCGTGGATTTCTGCGAGGGCTACTGGGGACTGAACCTAGAGCCTTGTACATGCCTGGCTATACACTGAATGACATCCCTGCCTCTTTGACTTTTGTTTGTCTTTATGTTTTGTTTCTCTGAGGCAGGGTCTCAGGGTCCCAGGCTGGCCTCCAACTCTGTGTAGCCAATACTAGCCTTAAACTCCTTGATCCTCCTGCCTCTGATCCCCAAGTACTTGGGATTACAGGCATGTACCACCATGTGTTGCTTTAATTTAAAATTTTAAAAAGGATTTTATGTGCGTGAGTGTTTTGCATATATGTATGCAAGTGTGTCAGGTGTGTGCCTGGTGCCCATGAAGGCCAGAAGACAGTGTCAGATCCCCTGTAACTGGAGTTATTGACATGTGTGAGCCACCATGTGGGTGCTGGAAAACAAACCCTAGTCCTCTGGAAGAGCTCTTAACTTCTGAGCCATCTCTCCAGCCCCAGCTGTCCTGGAACTTGCTATGTAGACCAGGCTGGCCTCAAACTCACAAAGATCCGCCTGCCTCTGCCTCCCAGGTGCTGCTGATTAAAGGCATGCGCCACCACGCCGTTTATTTTTATTTTTTTATAAGTGTATTGCTTGCATGTGTGTAAGTGTACCCGTGTTATGCAATGCCTGAGGAGGTCAGAAGGAGGTGTAACTGGAGTTACAGATGGTTGTTAGCTGCCATGTGGGTGCTAGAACTTGAACCCAGGTCCTCTGCAAAAGCAGTGTTCTTAACTGCTGAGCCATCTCTCCAGCCCCTAATTTTGATTTTTAAAATCATTGCATTATAACATTATTATTGATTACTGGGATTTGGGGTGCTCCACAGGAGCATTTTATATGCCTCACCTGAGTCCCCATGAACTGACTCTAAAAGGTTAGTGTTGACCACTGTGCACCTGGCACATAATAAAAATTCAAGAAATAACAGCTGTCACTCATATCAGGTCCTTAGTTCCTGACCAACTTTCAGAACAAAGGATGTGGACTGGGGATGCAGCTCAGAGGTAGAGTGCTTGCCTAGCATGCATGAAGCCCTGGAGTTTGATTTTCAGCACTACATAAACAGGACATTGTGGTACATATCTGTAATCTCAAAAACCTCAGACACACAGGCAGGAGAACCAGGAGTTTAAGGTCATCATTGGCTACATAGACAGTTTGAGGGCAGCCTGGGATAACAGACCCTGTCTTAAATTAGAAAAGGAAAAAAGCGTATAGGGCATGGAAAATATTCCTATGTCGGTGGGGACAGTAGAATTGAATATTCCAAATACACTGTCTCAGAAATTCCTGAATTTGGGGTATAAGATATGTACATTTCTTGCAGTCATTTTGCCCTAAAATCCAGTTGTGATCAATTAGAAGCCTGGAACTGAGGAGCGAGGTGGTAAATTGTGCCTGGCAAGTGTGTCCCTTGCTGTCTGGTCCAGGAGGCCCCAGCCATGGAAATGTTTACAAAAGGGAACATTCTCGGCTTGGCCCTCTTCTTCCTCCACCATCCCCAGCGTCTCCTCCCCTGCTCCCATTGGAAGCTGGAGCTGATTCGCTGCAGTAAATGATCAAGAAAGCCAGGTGGCCCTCTGCTCCCCTGAAAGGTCCCAGGAGCCCTGCAAAGCAATGTTATCTTACCCTAACCACTCCCAGCCCCAGCCAGGGGTGTCAAGGCCCCTGCTGGCAGGAACAGCTGCGAGGCCACTGCTGTTTTTTTCCCAAACTGTCGTGGCTACCGTAGTCATCTTTAATTTATGGGAATGGGGGATTTCGCGGTGATTTCCTGACCGGGTTCAAGGGAAGGTTGCGTGTGACCCGCGCGGCTGCAGGCCCGACTAGGCTGCTCCGCTCGCCTGGGAAAGTCGCTGCTGGCCGCACTGGGCGCCCTGCGCTCTGGTCCTCGCTGGGCCAGACTCAGTGCTTCCCAGCTTCCTCAGCTCCGGCGCTTCCCCTGGGCCGGTACTGCCTGGATTTCTCCCTTCCAAGATCTGATCCCCACCTGCCCCTGTCCAACTACCTAAACCTTCGGTTCTCTCTGTCTGAATCTCTTTTTCACTTTTGGCTCTCTCTCTCCTCTCTTCTCCCCCCTCCCACACATCCTGCCTTTTCTTCCCTCCCCCCGACTTTGCCTTTTTGCCCTGGTGTTTCCTCCCCCCACTTTCCTCTTTCTAGATGTTCCGTGTATTTTACTATCCAGCTCAAAAGCCACCCCTTCCCTAAGTATATTTTCTCCCAGTTTAGGAGACATGGCTGTAGTTACCCATAGTTCATAGCATCACATCAATGAAAACTACAAGTTAGGAAGTTTCAGATTCACTGAGTGTGGCGGGCACACCTGAAATCCCAGCAGAAGGCAGTAGGAGAGAAAATAGGAGGCTAGTCTGAGCACAAAGAGCTCTTGCAGAGAACCTGAGTTCAGTTCCCAGCATCCAGTTCACAACCAACTGCCTGTTACTACAGCTCCAAGGCCTTCTCTGTCATTTGCACTCGTGCACAAACCCACACTCAGACACACATGCATACTCAAAATTAAACACACAGACACACAACATAAAATCTATGTGTGTGTCTTTGTGTGGTTTAACCATTTTGAAATGATAGTTTACAGCAGCCATCCATAGATAGATTTTTTTTTTCTAGACTTCTAGAACTGTTTCATTTTGCAAAAGAGAGAGATTCTCTTTGGAGGAAGTCCCCTCTTCCTCTTCCCAAAGCCTCGAACAGCCACCATGCCTCTGTAAAAGTCTCACCGTTGCAGTTACAGATTCACAAAGCATTTGTCTTTTTAGGACTGGCTTATTGCACTCAGCGTCATGTCCTCGAGACTGACATTGTAGCACATCATGGGGACGTTTTTTCAAGGCTGAATAGTATTCTATGATTTTTCCACGTTTTCCTTATCCATTCATCAGACATTTTGCCTGCTTCTGCCTCTTGGTAGTTGTGAAATAATGCTTCCATGAA